GGGAAAATAAGAGTTTTCCCATGGATAGGGTCTGTTTTTCTCAATAAAATGTGAGGTCTTCAGCTCAGAAAGAGACTCAAAGAAATATGGAAGGTTTGAGGAAAAAGAGGAAGATATGAAATCACCATTTTAAAGTATTGGGTAACAAGCTGGTATGTTCAACCACTTGGAATTGATGTTAGTTCACTTTCAACCTACAAAAAACATCAGTTTCATATGGTTTGCTCCAATACTTCAGAAACATAGTAAATTTTTGTTAGTTAAGACCCCCCCCCCACACACACACACACAACTCTACATTTGTTTTTCTAAAGTTTGTTTTGGAATCATTAAAAATTTAAATAATGTAAAGCAAAGTCATCATATAAATATACTGTTGGAAGAAATGTTTCAACCACTTATGGCTCATTCATGACTTCAGACTGTAATTAGGAGCCTTTAATGTGATGGTCTCTTAGGACCCAGTGGAGACCAGGTAGACAGAGTTTTTGGTCTCCTGAAGCTTTAGGAGGCAGGCAGACAGGATAGTGATCACATGTTACAACTAACTCCCTGTGTGACAAAGGCCAAAGCATAAGTTCAGGGTAGCATGGGAGCCTCCCTGAGAATCATCTAACCTGGGTAGAGGAGAGGGTCAGGCAGGTTTCTCCAAAAGGTTTGTAAAGCTCAAGACCTAAAGGATGCAGAAGAGACCTAAAGGAAATGGAGGAAGACAGGCAGGTCCAGACACAGGGTGTGAATAAGCCTTCACAGGCAAGAGGTATTGTCAGTATAAAGAACAAAGTCATTTCAGGAAAGCTGCAGAGATATGCTTAAAGATAAGGCTCAAGAGGGAGATTGGGACCAAATCATGAAGATCCCATGAGAACTCTTATGGAAGCTTTTTGATTTGTTTATTTGTTTGCATTGCTGGAGAAAAACTCAGGGCCTCATTTATACTAGGTAAGTACTCTGTCACTGAGCTATAACCCCAGCCCTTTATGAAAGATTTTTGGATCTTCTAAGAGTAACAGGAAGCTCTTGAAGGATTTTAAGATAATATAGTATGTAAACGTGTTCGCTGTATCCTTGTAAATGTAATTACTTACAACAAATAAAACGATGTATTTTAAAGGGGATTGGAGGAAAACCCCATTTATCAATATAATAAAACAAATTAAATACTTGGAAATAAAGTATTATCTTTTTAAAATGTCATCCAAATACAAATAACAATGCCTTCTTGCCTCCTAGTATAGACCAGTTCCATGTGGTCTTTTCTCCCAAAGTCATGGTATGTAATTTTCGAAGTGGAACTGCACTATTCCTAGACTTCTTTTGCATTGTTTTATTTTAGAAATGTTCTTTACTTATTAAAAGAAGGAAATATAATGATGTATAAACAATTACATTTTTATTGACAGAAAAGTCAGAAAGAGACTTGGAAAGGAAGATGCTATAAACTGAAGAGCTTAAGAACAAACAAAATTATTTAAGGGAATTCAAAATCAAAATAAGTTAAATTATTAAAAGAGGGGATCATGTGATACAATCCTTGAGGAGCTAGAATTTGATCTAAGCACACAAAAAATGAATTGGTAAGTCTGTGTTTATACTGCTTTGACTATGTTCTCATAAGGTAAAGAATGCTTTACCTTTGGCTCTAAGAAATACAACTTCCCAACCATAAAAAAAGGGGAAATTTGCCGTTTAATATGTGCAAAAGTCTTTACAGACTGTAGTTGACTGTGAACTGTGTGATATGGCTGTCAGAAAAACCAGTGCTCTCTGTGGATGCAGTATGTGAGGTAGGTATCCAGCACAATGGGGAAAGATGGTGCCATGGTGAGACTGTTCCCAGTGTTTGTTTATGTGTGTGTGTGTGTATGTATGTATGTATATATATATATCAACAACATTGTTGGTGAGAGTGTACATTGGCAAAAAGTTTTAGAAGGCAATTTGGCAAAAATATCCAAATTTTAAACATAGAGCTCCTATGTCTCAGAGATCTCATTTCCAATAATATATTCTGTAGAAATGCTTGCAAGAATATGTAAAGATCATATATGTATGCTTGTATGTGTATATGTACATGTACCTATGTAACAGTGATGCTCACTACACCATTATTCATATGAGTAAAAACTCCAAATGACTAAAAAGCCCCTCAGGGAACGACCATGCTGTGGCATAGTATATTGCTATTAATAAAATGAGGTCGGGTTATATGGCCTGACTTGGAAGGATGTCAGATACATTTTACTATATGAAAAAAAAGCAAGTTGTTAAACAGTAAATAAAGTACTATCCTATATACATAAATGCACAATAGTGTAAGGATATTTGGGGTGGAAAGGGGTGGCAGAATATAAACCAAACTCATGAAAGCAGTTATTTCTGAGGAAAATTATTGAACATTTCAAATATACCTTTATGCATATCTGTAATAACTAAAGTTTATACAATTTGACTTTATGGTTGAAACAGAGAAAAAGATATTGAAACAGAAAGATTTAGACGATCTAAATGGCGTAATTTGAGAAAAAAGCTTATAGAGAGGCTTCCAATGTCTTGGGACAAAGTTACAGGAAGAATGACAAAGCAAAGGGGTGCTCAGGCTGGAGAAAAGGAAACTCAGTGAGCTTTGATAAATGCTCTCAAATATGCAAAGGACTGTGTAATATGGAAGAGAAATTAGAATTATGTACTAAGGCCCCATGAGATCAAATTAATACCTAGTAAACAAAATTATAGGAAAACAAAGTCTGAAAAATTCTAAAACCACATTGAGTGTTCTATAAATTCTGAAAATGTTTATTGTGGAAGAAACCGAAATAAGATTTTAACTTTTATAAGCACACTTCACCTTATGCTAGATTTAGAGCTTTTTGCTATATTTGGACAGTGTAGGTATAAACAGAATTTTCAATGATGGTAATGCCACAGCATCACAGAATGTTAGAACTCAAAAACATACTCAGATATTTGGTCCAAGCTTCCTGCTTGGGGCTCACAGAGTATAGTCATTCACTGAGTCTTGGTTCTGAACTAGTGTACTCTGCTCTGTGCTACATCTCTTCAAATTCCCCAAAATTATAACAGATTTTCTGTGGGTATTTAGGAGCTATTGTTTCTACTTAAACTACAGTGTGAAAACTGTCTCTCTTGGCAGTATAATATTACACAAAATTCCCCACATTAGACAGAATTCTTATAGAAAATGCCATACTTACTCTTCCCAAGCAAAAGGATCTCTTTATGTGAGGTGTTAGCTCGGTACTGGTTTGCGATGATACAACATTCTTTGAAAGCTCTGATGCAGGCTGGACCTCTGGTGATCCGTGTGGCCCGCTGCTCGCAGGTTTCTTCATCATTACGGTGGGCTCCATCACAGCAACACTTCCTTGGCACTGGATGTTTGTATTTAGCAGCTAAAAGGGTAATAATGTAAGTGCCCTTGATCAGGCTGAGTCAGCATCTCAGGTTTAGAAGGAATCTCAAGAAATACTCAGTTTCTACTACCAAATGCTCCCCTTATCCACAGGAGCCATAGTTCCAGTGTGTCCTTGGAACTACAGTAGGATTAGGGAGAATGTGACCCCACCAGGTGGTCCATCCCAATTCACACTAAATGGTTAAAGGGCTTCCTGCAACCAAGTTAACTATAAACTTTCAAACCTGGAACTTTGGCTTCAGCAGCATTTGAGTATAAGTTAAATATCTAAGAAGCCTTTAAATATTTGAAAGTATATATTGTTATTATATAAGAATTATTTTCCATAAGCTAAATAGCCTTCTTTTTCAAATATTCCTTATAGGATATGGTTTGTAGATGTCTACTAGTGCCATCATCCTTCACTGTAAGTGTTCAATCAACTTCTCAACTATCATATCATTAAAACAGAGAATTACTGAAAGCTAGAATTACTGTAACTAAGACAAACTAACACAAGCCTGTAGTCCCAGCAACCCAGGAGGCTGAGGCAGGAGGATGTCAATTTCAAGGCCAGCCTCAGCAACTTAACTCTGTCTCAAATTTTTTTAAAAGGATTGGGGATATGGCTCAGTGGTAAATCAGCCTTGAGTTCAATACCCAGTAATCCCCCCTCAAAAAAATGAAGTATAATAACTCATATGCAAATGGAAGAAGTCATTATATTACTATAAGAATGACAACTAGTTGAACTCAGGCTACAGATTCCAGATTGATGTTCTTTCTACTTAACATGACTGATTATCATATTACTATTTAAATAATTCCCACTGGACTTATTTCCAAAGAATAATCCAGAATGTTATTAGCTATTAAATATATGAAATGGAAGAAATATATTTTTACATATATTCCAAAGTTAATCAAATCATGGATTTAAAAAAATATATTTGTATTTGTAGATGAACACAATATCTTTATTTTATTTTTATGTGGTGCTGAGGATCGAACCCAGTGCCTCATGCATGTGAGGCAAGTGCTCTACCATTGAGCCACAACCCCAGCCCCTCAAATCATGGATTTTGTCAGAATAAAATGGAAAAATATTTTAATTGTTAGATGGAGCTTGTAGAGAGAAAATATTTGTGATAAATTCAAATTAATAATTTACATTTTAGAGATAGATCTGATATAGACCTGTTCTCCTCATATTAAGATTATAGAAAATGAACTACTAGATTTATTTGGATTAATCTTTCTGAGGGAGGTGAGCTAGACATCCATATATATCTTTCTTTCCACCCATTTTAAGTAAAATTACATAATATTTCATTTTCTCCAGTTTTTAATGATCATATCATCATTTCAAATGATGTAGAAATGTTCTACAACTACATGAAACTCTTAGAGTACCTTGTTCATTTATTCTCTGTTGCAGATTTCCTGATGAAATTAGCTTAATTTCTTTGCCAGGTTCATCTATTTAAAACAAAAACAAAAGATAGAGACAAAGAGAAAGGGGGCTTGATAAAAAAAAAAGTTGCATGGAACTATTTAAAACATTCATATCATTCAATTATCGCCAATATGATCATAACCTTTTTACAATCACATGAAACTTTTAAAGTACCTAGTTCCTGTATTTTCTGTTGTAGACGTTTTCGTGGCCTAAGAATTTCTCTACCAGTTTCACTTAAAACAAAAGCAAAAGATAGAGACAAGGAGAAGCAGGGGGAGTTAAAAATCTATTAAAAAAATTGCATGAAACTAAGTATTTAAAATATTCACAAGTCATTCACTTGAGAAACCGGTTTTGAAAGCCTGCTTCTGATTAAGCATTGGAAACTACACATCTTTTTATTTTATTTTTTAATTTTTTAAATTTGTTCTAATTTGTTATACATGACAGCAGAATGCATTTTGATTCATTGTACACAATTACAGCAAAACTTTTCATTTCTCTGGTTGTACACAATGTAGCTGTAGCATCTCACCATATGTGCAGTCATACATGTACCTAGGGTAATGATATCCATCTCATTCCACCATCTATCCTGACCCCATGTCCTCTTCCCACCCCTCCCTCCCCTTTGCCCAATGAAAGTTCCTCATTCTCCCCATGCCCCCCACCCATTATAAATCAGTGTCCACTTATCAGAGAGAACATCCAGCCTTTTGTTTTTTGGGATTGGCTTACTTCACTTAGCATGATATTCTCCAGCTCCATCCATTTAGCTGTAGATGCCATGATTTTATTCTCTTTTAATGCTGAGTAATAATCCATTGTGTATATATACCACAGTTTCTTCATCCATTCATCTGTTGAAGGGCATCTAGGTTGGTTTCACAGTTTAGCTATTGTGAATTGAGCTGCTGCGAACATTGATGTGGCTGTGTCACTATAGTATGCTGATTTTAAGTCTTTTGGGTATAGACCAAAGAGTAGGATAGCTGTATCGAATGGTGGCTCCAAGATTTTTAAGGAATCTCCATACTACTTTCCAGATTGTTTTCGCCAATTTGGAGTCCCACCAGCAGTGTATGAGGGTGCCTTTTTCCCCTACATCCTCATCAGCACTTATTGTTGGATTCTGGATAATTGCCATTCTGACTGGAGTGAGATGAAATTATAGGACTGGAGATACAGCTCAGTTATATGAGTGCTTGCATCACATGCACAAGGCCCATGGTTCAAACCCCAGCACCAACACACACACACACACACACACACAAAAGATTGGGGAAGTACACATCTTAATAGGACTTGTTTCAGCATAGTGGAGCTCATGATCTATAGTTTGATTTTTTTTTTTTTTAAATCTGAATTAGGTTTTGAATCCTGTAAACTTTTTGACCCCAGATTATAGAGAACTATCTAAGCATTTAGAGTGAACAAAGATTTGTTGACTAATTTATTTTTTCTTTGAGCTATATTATTACAAATACAAATATGAATACTAGAGTACCAAGAGTAATTATGAACCATTCTAAAACCAAAGGACAGTGATTAAGATGTGGTCGCTGCCTGTGAAGAGCCCACATGGCTGTGGGTGAGACAGGACTATAACTGAGTGTGAGGATATGAATGACCCAGTGCTGTCATGTTATAAGTAGACCTGGTCCTACAAGACCCTCCTATTAAAGCATAAGGGAGTGATCAATTCTGTGTGGGGAAGAGGCCCCCCAGAGGAGAGGATTCTTCTACTTGCTTCTCCAGGCTAATAAAGGGGAAAGCAGTTCCTGTGAGTAAAGGCCCAAAGGTATGAAGAGCACAGCAGCAGATCAGAGCTACACCTGGTGCTGTGTAGACAGGCAGGAACAGCAGGGTGAGAAATTGTTGGAAGATCCGGGAGAAGATCACAGAAGGTGTTGAGTACTATTCTAAAGAACTTGTACTTTATCTTGAAGGCCGCTGGAACACCTTATACAGGGGAGTTATGTAGTCACAGCATTCTAAGATCATTGTGGGGAATATTCTGGAAAAGGGACAAAAAGGAGAGTTGGGAAGCAAATGATCAAAGTCAATCTCAGTGATAAACGCAGGCTTTACCATAGTCTTGGGAGTCCTCTGCATTCACATTGGTGAGGAAGGTGAGTCCAGCCAAATGAAACACATCTGCATTGTCTCGGCCACCACCGGCCCCACAGCCCCGGTCACTCTTCTCTAGAGCTTGGAACGCCTGTCCAGAAAGGCAAAAGGATGAGCTTCTTCAGGTGTGTGAAGAACTAAAGGTACTAGCCATTGAGTGGTTAGCGCAACCTGTGAGATGCACAGGGCACAGGTTTATCCAGGACAAAATCTCCCATCTCCATGCCTCAGTTTTGTGATTTTATAATTATAAATACATGCCTATTCAAAATTCACCCAGGACTGAAGATTCTTAGAAATTGACCCGAGGTGTTTTGTACATAGAATACATGCTGCAATCAATGTCTAAAACAAATGAATGAATAGGTGAAATCATGAAGGAGCGAATCAACAAATGAATTTTTAGTTGCTAAATAGAAAAAGAACATACCCTCTTATGTTTCCAAGAGAAGGCTCTAGGTTCTAAGTGAGGAAGGACTGTTCTAAATCAGTTTTAATTTTGACTTCAAATGTCCTCTCCTCTGTGAGTAGTTTTAACTTTGCTGTTTCTTAGTTTGTTCTTCCCTTGTTCAAGCAAACCCAAGCCAAGACAATAATAGCTGAGTGTAGTGGAAATAAATGGGAACTTAGGGAATTGAGTCATTGTCAAATTCTTCTGCACCAAAGATTTATTGAGTTAAATAAACCAACCCAAAGATTTTGTGTCCAGGCTTCTCTTGTGCTGCTTCTGTCCCCACCACCACATGCTACCCTAAATCCTCCAGCTCTCTGAGTTGAGGGTGCTTTTGCCCCATAAATACAATTGCTACCATGATCGTGTGTTTTTAAAGTGCTTGGATCTCTATTTGGAAAGCAAAAAAGCACTGATTTGTGCTTAAATATTAGCTGACAGTGGTTGACCTTCCTAAGACCCACTGTGCTGAGGACCTTGTGGAGAAGCAGGCCGTGTTGCCCAAACTTTCCTCCAACCTGTCCTGGTGGCCTGCTGAAGACTGCACTGAGCCACACTTCTTACAGTGACCCCAGAACAGCACAACTTAACCCTTTCTATGGGCTTTCTGGCTCTTCCTTGGACTCCATACACAGCACTGTCCACTGCTGTGACTGCCACCCACGACTCTGACTCAGTTGCCAAATTAATACATATAGTTTGGCCTGGAGAATATGCATCTGCATCTAGAGGCGAATGAACCTAGGTCATGGGAAAAAGAAAAAAACATTTGTATGTGACAGAACTGTTCAGAGGCAGCCACTTTCACAGCCTCCTTCCTTCAGAAGAAAATCCAGTTGTGACATATAATTTGTGTCTCACCTGGAGCTGACTGTCATACTTCTCTTCGACATTTAGGCAGACTGAGTCGGACACTAATTCTGCAGTCTGCTCTCCAATGACGATGTAATAGACCAGAAGTTGAGCTGAAGGAACCATGTTCTGAGTCACTGGGATGTTTATACTTTGATAAGAAGAATCTATAACCTTCTCTCTTGTGCCAAAGTGTACAATTTTGCCCCTGGATAAAATCTAAAAATAAACAGTGGCAGTGAAAATAAGTATAAAAACAAAACCTGTGCATCAGGATGGAGCTTGAAGAAAAAATTTGACATATGTGTATGTTCCAGTTCTTACAGTAGAGAAGAGAGGCATAGTACCCCCACTGGAGAATCTGAGGCTTAGAAACTAAGTAAAAGTCAGACTGATTTTAGTTCAAAATGACATATCTAGAAATTAGAGAGGAATTCAGCAAGATCCTGTCTCAAAATAAAAAATAAAAAGGACTTGAGGATGTAGCTCAGGTGTGGAGTGCTCTGGGTTCAATCTCTAGTACCAGGAAAAAAGAAGAAAACAAATAGATGCACTTGCCCTGGCCATGAACGCCTATAATTACAGATACTCAAGGGGCTAAGGCAGGAGGATCACAAGTTTGAGGTCAGCATGGGCAACTTAGCAATATCTTTTCTCAAAATAAATATGTTAAAAGAGGTTAGGGATGTAGCTTGGTGGTAGTGTACTTGCGTAGCATATGTGGGCCCCAGGTTCAATCTTCAGTACCACCAAAATAATAAGTTAAATGTATCTTATTTGGGGATTCAGATTTTTAAACATAGATTATATTGTATATTGGAGGTTAGGGTTAAAAAATATCATGTAAAGTCAAAATGTCTTCAAAGATCCCTTTAACTGTTCATGAAAATGGTTTGTATTTATAAATGCAAAGCATCATTCTAATGTTTCTCTATAAACCAAAGAACAAAATGTTCAGGATGGGAAAATAAGATGAAAGTCTATCATTATTGTACTTACCAAGTAATTATACTGAGTTATTTTGTCAATATACGGACTTTTGGATGTAACAGTAATGTTCAGATATTCTCCTACTAGCAGAGGCTTATAGTTTCCAGTCCAATCAATATAAAGGTAACTCTGGCTGGGAGATGAGTATGCTATTGCTCGGTAATCTATGCTGGCCTGATTTTCTTCTGGAAGATCTGAAGCATCAGTTTTGACCTGAAAAGGAAAATTTCAAAAAGACACATGAACTGTGTGTCAAGCTTTTTGTAAAACGTCTTTTAAATTCTTTACTTTTTCAATTTCTAAATTTCACAATTCTAAATGCTAAGGGGAAAAAAAATCCTCTAGTACTCCATGTTTGTACAGCTGCAGTTTCAAGTAATTTTGTAAAGACTATGGTAAATAATGATGGGATTATGGGCCATGGTGGAAAAGTTTGGTGAAATGAAGAGAGAAAGATGCTCCAGGAACAAATACCAGCTCCCTTCCTGAAATACCACATGAGCTGGACTACTCTTTCTGGGGATGGGAGGGCAGGGACTGAGGGAAGAGAGGGAAAATGATGGGAGGTAGCACCAACTCAAGTACTGGAGGGCAGAAGTTATGAATGAACATCACAGACACCATCTTTGTGAAGTAATGATACAGAGGAATGCTCCTAAACACAGGTGGGACAGAAATGATATCGTGGCAGGAAAATCTGCCTTCAGACAGCAGAAAGATTACTAGCTTGTGATCTGGGGTCAGGTACACATTGGTTTGCATCCTGGTGCTGCCACTTATTAATTCTGGACAAGTTATTTGATCAAAACAGAGGTAGAAGTCTCCTTTCCTCTGACACAAAATGGCAAAGATGATATTTTCCAACTCTTACTGCTGATAAATGAATTTGTTCCTCAGAAATCTCTTAGCACAATGCCTAAGTATTCAGTAAGGGCTCAAGTGAATCTGTGCATGCTGCAGTCATTGATCTGTGTAGTTAGTTATACCTGGGTTGAGACTGGGAACCTAAACATTATTTGCTGGGAGAGAAGATGATTGTCCCTAAAGTAGAGTGGTTTGTGCATTAGACAAAAAGGAGGCATTCACATTTCACCCTTGTGTGGCCCTGAAAAGAGACAAAGAATGGGTGTGTGTGTGGAAGGGGGATTCTTACCACTGATGTCCACTGCTATACCTATTCTGAAATTTCTGCATTCTAATATAATTTTATTGGTGTAAGAGAAAATAGTTAATTCCCAAATCAAAAAAAAAAAGGGGGGGGGGGTGGATTGATCTTCCTTAAGAACCATTCAGTGGGTTAGAAGATTATCTCTCGTAGTCATTTGGTTTGTTTTCAAAATTGTAGAACTGTTAACTGGACTCATGTATAAAATCTGCCACATCTGTTCTCTACACTTTGCCAAAACATACAGTCAAAAGTACACACTGTCCTAGAAAATATAGCCAGAGATTCAGCTCACATCAAACTCCAGTGCCGTCACTCCAGATGGGAGGTTAACCACAAAGGAGGCTACTCCATCATTGAGACCTGTGATGCTTTTCTGTGGTTCCAAGTCAGCCATCTCTCGGTTTTCATTGATGGTTTGTGCATTCAGGGTTACAGGGACCCCGCCTACCAACTGGTCCAGAGAATCCTTAACCTGCACCTGTTTGTCAGAACAATTCCATCCATGTCAACAGCTTATCATGTCTTTGAAAACTCAACAAGTCTGAATCATTTTCCTTCCTCTCCACCAATGCATAAATTCATTATGGTTGTTAATTCAGTAAGATTGTGTTCTTGACATATAGAAATGTTAAATTCTATTTAGTTTAATCATCTTGAATGGATTCCCCCACATATCAACCTGACTCAGAACACAAACATCATTTCATTATGGCAACAAAGATGTGACAAGATCTATGTAACCCACCTTTGCATTTCTTTAATTATATTAGGACTGAATAATGGAGAAAATGAAGCAATGGCTTCTGGGAACAATATTTTTGTGTATGAGAAACAATAAATGGATACATTTCTTTCTTATCTTCTAATTCTCACACACATATCTATGATTATATATGATATATACATACACATACACACACACACACACACACACATATATATATATATGTGATTTCACTAAGGATATCTTTGTTTTATTTTTACATGTTACATAAATATATATTAAATCTCATAATATTTCATATTTTAATATGTTACATATCACTGTATATGATGGGTATATACATACTCATATTGTATAGTTATCTAAGAAGCTATAAGCACATCTAATGTATGCTTTGAGTTTGGTCAATATTGCTCTCTTAAAATTCAGTGGCCTACTGTAAATAAGTTGTAAGTGATGCATTTTAAATATAGTTGTTCCTCTGTATCCAAGACACATTGGTTCTCGGAGGATGTTCAAGGTTCCTATAAAATTCTGGCAGAGTAGACTTATACTTTAAGTCATCTCTAGATTCCTTATAATATCTAGTATAATTGAAACCTCATGTAAATAGTTGTCATGCTGAATTGTGTAGGGAATTATAATAAGGAAAAAAGTCTATGCAGTTCAATCTGCAGGTGGAATCCACATATACAGACACCAATGACATGGAGGGCTGACTGGATACCCAAGGATTTTATTAACAGTAAGTAATAGGTTTTCAAAGAAAGAATTAAAACATCATGCTCTAGGCTTTCTAAATTAAAGGCAAAATAAAAATTTCCATTTAATAATTATAATACATAACATTATTTTAATAATATATTTAACAATAATAAATATAATAAAAAATTAAAAGGATGCTTTGACTCCATACTATCAGCATTTAATAAAGGAAGAGTAGAGGAAAAAGAGAAAATTTAAGACAAAGAAGGGAGCAAAAAAGACAGAAGAAATAGAGTCAGAGACAAAAAGTGTCAAAATAGGAAGGACGGAGCGCAACACAGAGAAAGGAGAGCCCAGACAGGGTTGTGCACAGAGATGGCAGAGAAAGAAAAGCCCACAGAAAGGCACTTAGACACAGCAGAAACAAATGATGAGAGAAAGGGGTCTATTTTCAAAGAATGACCTCTTCAGCTTAAGGCTCTTTAAGAAATAAAGATATATTATGTAGTTATGTAAGAAGCTATAAGCACATCCAATGCATTCTTTGAGTTTGGTCAATCTTGTTCTCTTAAAATTCAGTGGCCCACTGTAAATAATAAACATTGTCACCAAATAATTTTAAATATTAGTATTTTTCCATTCTTTTCATTGGTGCATTGTAGTTGTATAAATGTTAGTGTTTTTGAATTTTGGATTGACAGTTTTATTTACACTAATGTAATGCAGTGTTTACTGAGGAGATGCATAATGCAAGCCTGGCTTACTAAATAATGGCATGACCCTAAATGTCAATCACCCACAAGGCTGCACTGGTCTGCAATGTGCCACACCTGTGTCCACAGGAGGGTTTGACCTGACAAGGAGTCCCTCTGTGATTTGCCTCTCCAGTGCCCTTCTCTTTCCTACCTCTATACACAGAAAAAGACAAGCATATTCAGCAGGTTCTCCCCAGCCCCACTTACCTTGATAGAATATGGAATCCCAGGCTTCAAGAAAAAAGAAGTAGCAATCAAGTTTAGTTTGTAGGGAGAGAGAACATATTTGATGCCAGGTACTTCTGCCTCTTCAAAAAACCCACCTAAAGAAATGGCAAGCGTGGTATTAGCATATTTGAAGTCTAATGATCTGTATGGGTATCTACATTGTCTCTAGGATTCCACAGACTTACTCTTTCTCTCACTCCCTTCCTGCACAGATGGTATCTAAAAGGGCATTAGGAAGCATTAGGTTCAACCACCTTACTGTACAGATAAGGAGTCCAGAACGTGGTAACAGGAATAACTCACATATACAGGCATTGCATCAAACAGTTTTACACACATAATCTCATGTTGATTTTGATTCTCACCAGGAGAAAACACCGGAGTACCCGATATTCAAGCTAGATGGCCTGCAGAGCCATTTTGGATATCAGCCGGGCAGTATTATCCTTTTTCAGTTATTGAGATCCTAGAGTCCCAGTGGCTTGCCAATTACTACAGAGTGGTAGAGCTCTTCTCTAATCCCAGTCTTCAGTGAAATAAAAAGTAATACATAAAATTTAACTATAAATGAAAATAAAATGTAAAGGAGCCCTAGAAATAATTTCTACCACTTTTATGCTCTCTAAATACTTCCTAAGAGAAAGTTTTACACACACACACACACACACACACACACACACACACTTACCTGTAGACTCTTTGACTGTTACAGCAATATAAAGGTATTTGTTGTTTAACTCTTGTAGACTGTGATATGACAGCTCTTTTACTGCTGTTTCAGAATCAAACGTGACACGAGCAGTTCCATTTATCAACTTTTTAAGAAGGGAAAATATAAGTCATTTTACATAACTTACAAGGAAAATTTAACAATCTGTATTAACTAGCCTTAAATTGAAGGCAAATGTTGAATGACTGTTTTGGCATTGTCAGTAAAATAGATGAGTGAGGCCACAGTTAGGCCCAGCAGTTGCTTCCTGCTTCATCTGTGTAGAGCTACAGATATGGAGGAGGCTGGAAGATGACAGGGAACATTAGGCCTTTTGGGTACTAGAAACACAGATACTTCTTCCAACCTCTGAGTCCTAATCTACCTTCAGAGGCCTCTCATGCTGCATCTGCCATTAGCCAAAAGTTTGTTGAATTTATATTTAATTTGTACTTGGCTATTTATAATTTTAAACACTAACTATAAAACATATCACAAAGTAAAGGGGTATCAGGTGAAGCCATGTCATATTTATTACTTTGCCTTATTTTTTATTCTAAAATACTTTGACTTGAAGCTGGGCATTTTTATATGGTTTAGCTTTATTTACTTTATCTTTTTTTTTTAAAGGACGCTAAGGATTGGACCCAGGGCCTCACACATACTAAGAACTTGGTCTATGACTCAGCTACACACCTGCCCTGATTTAGCTTTAAATCTCAGCATCAAGGGTAGAATTTTGCATTTTAAAGACATTAAACTTATATTCTAAACACATAAGGATTTTTAAAAAGCAGAGAATAAATAATTGATGAAAAATACATGAGTATGCAAAAGTAAGGTAAAATGACATAAACTCTTATCACCCATGGTATAATGTAAACAACACTGAAGAGAGGAAAAGGGGCCAGGGCTCTAATCTCAGTTCTAACAATCACTAGCCCTTAACCATGAACAAATAGTCTCCCAAATATTTATAGAAATCTACACTTTGCAAGGAGATATGTTGTCTCCGGTCATATGGTGGGAATGATTTGGACCTGCAAAGAGTTTAATGTTGAAAATGATAGATAAGTAAATAAGCCATTATGAAAAGGAAGGAATATTCCCCCTTGACATTGACATTTTGGAAAGGATAATCTTTGATGTTTGGGGAAGGAAGGGAGAAATGGAACAAGTTCAGCTGGCAAGAGGATGATGCCCTGGTCTTTATCTCAAGGGCAACCAGAAGCCAATGGAGGGTATTAAGCTTCAGCTTCCACACCTATGCTGAACGAGGGATTGGACCAGAGGGTTTTGAAATACCTCACAGCTCTCACGGCATCCTTAGGTATGAGTGAACACAGCATCTCACCTTGGTGTTTTGCATTGCTTTTGGCATCATTTCCTTTTGATCATCTTTTACGTCTTCTCTTATTCCAAAAGTGACATAAACTTCAGCCTCAGTAACTGTTTTATTGTAGAAATATCTGTCAAACAATACCATAAAATAGTTTTGTCCAAACACTTACAAGATTCAGATAAAAAGTAGCAATTTGAAATCACATAAAGCACTTGATACACTTCCATCCACGGTTACACTTCATAAAGCCACAGTAAGAAATCTAGAGTACGGATTTTTATTACTATGAGAGAAATGATAGAGCTGATCTTGGGGAGATGAAGACACTCAGCTTCAGGCCCTTCCTCCAGCCCATGTTACTTCCTGGATGATCTTGACATCAGTGGGAAGCAACTCCTTGTTTCATGTGTGTTTCTTTAAAAGTAGCATGCCTGATCTTCCTGTTAGTTAAAACTTCTTTAAAAAAAAAACAACAGCATATTCCTTTTTAATTTAGAACTAAGTAATAAAGTGAATTTTCTGCATCTCAAATAATACTATAGCAAGAGCTAACTTTCCTCATTCATGGTTTGAAAACACTGCCTCCATTACAAGAGCTTAGTTTCTATAATTTTCTCTCAAGTGTGCCATTTACAGGGGTATAGACTAACTGACACTATTTCAGGTAAGAGTAAATGCTTACAAGAGAAGCAGTATGGGGTAGTGTTGGAGGGCACGGACTCCAGAACCAACAAGCTGTGCAACTTATTAGCTGTGTGATCGTGTGCAACTTATCTAGCATTTATCCACCTCAATTTTGTACTTGTGCTATGGAGAGTTGTTGGAAAATTAAATGTACTGATATACGGAGTTCTCAAAAAACCACCTTGCCCAGGTAGCTATATAAATTGGTTATTAACAACTACATTATACTGACATTTCTAAATGACCTTGGTTCTTGTGATAGCTTGCTACAACACTAACCCCAATTCTCTCCCTCTCCCTGGATCCACAACATTGGCAGCCCTTGCCTGCAGAAGGCATGGGAGGAGCCTACTTCCTCTGGGCTGGCCTTGTAACTTGCTTTGGACAAAAGAATATGGTGGAAGTAAGAGTGTGCCAGTACCAAGCGTAGGCTCCTGAGAACTTTTCTGATTGCATTTCTGTCAGAGCACTGCTGCTGCTGAAGGCTAGCCTGCTGGGTAGGATACCTGTATGGTCCAAGCACTCTTAGCCTCCACCCCTGCCAGCTATTGACAGCTAGTGAATAAGACCTACCTGTACTCGCCACCCCACCCCCAAGATGACCTGTGTACTGAGTGGAGCACACTTGGTTATTAACAACTACATTATATTGTAGGGTGAGCCTAGCTGACATCAGCCTGGCCCAGGTCAGCAGAACTGCCCAGCTGACTCGTAAACAGTGGTGGTTTCAAGGCATTGGGTTTTTAAAGTTATGGAGCTTTTGCTGGCTGAGTAAGCCACTAAAAATGACAAGAAGTGAAGAATTCATATTTCAGCCCAGATATGCTAAGTCATCCTGGTTTCTAAATGAATACATAGAGTTTAAATATTTAGGACCTTTTCCTTTTTTCTTTATTTCTTCTTCTTCCCCTGCCGCCCACTGATGAATAACCAACAAAACTAAAATCAGAATCAGCTAAAATCAGAATAAGCAAATAAACTATGAGCACAATCTTTCCTAGTTCAGCTGGGTAATAAAAAAAACCCCACAAAACTTTCTTACCTTGCTTTTATAGTAATTTCAAAATTCTTAAAGTTCTTGTAACCAATGAAATTGCCTTCTGGTTCTATTGATACAGAAAAATGTGGCAAGACTGAAAATAGAAAGGAGGAGGAATATTAGCAGGTGACTTAGGCCTTGAAAACACAGCAAAGGGCTCTCCTTGCTGGTACCTGGGCAGGCTGCACCATCAACACCACATCTGCCTTGGCATCACCACTGCCATCAGCAACAATGCCCCTGGGAAGCCTTCACCCACTCAGTCCAGCCTCCCCACTGGAAGCCCCTGGCTTCTTCCATTTTGGTTATAACGTACATTACAGGCAACAGGTTACTCCCTCCACTAAATATGGGCTCCTTCAAAACAGACAAAAGGCTGTTCTCCATTTTTATATATCTCCCTTCACCCTTCTCCTAAGTCCTTTACAAAGTATGTGTTCAATGAGTATTTATTAAATTGAGAATATAAAAGGAAAATTCTGTTGAACAACAGCAGATGAGGTAGAGAGCGAAGATGGGAGGGGAGAGGAGGGTGGATAGTAGGGGATAGAAAAAGTAGCAGAATACAACAGTCACTAATATGCCATTATGTAAAAATGTGAGCGTGTAACCGATGTGATTCTGCAATTTGTATTTGGGGTAAAAATGGGAGTTCATAACCCAATTGAGTCAAATGTATGAAAGATGATATATCATGAGCTTTGTAATGTTTTGAACAGAACAACCAATAAAAAAATAAATAAATAAAAAATCACTATATAAAAAAAAGGAAAATTCTGGTCTATTTAGCATCTCCCATTTTCATCTAGTAAAAAAAAATGCATCTAGTCTGCAAGTGCCAGCATGCAACTCTGATGTTGGAAAAGGGAGAGAGAACTCCCAATTAGAGATAAGAATGAACATCAATGTCAAATTTTAAAATAGGACCAAAAGGAGACAGGGGTCTAATTTTTTTTCTTTTATCTCTTTAGTGTCTTGATTGCCCAAGAGAAAATGATTCAATCTGTTGAAATGGCACTGTCTTCTCTTTATGCTAACTCAGGCCACATCCAAGGGTCATGGATTCGGATTCTGATGACCTGCACTACAGTTAATAGAAAACTGGGTGATTGCATGGAATGGATATTGTGGACAGAGAGTGACCTAGAGAGGGGTGAGTCAGCTGCAGCTGTGGCTCACAGGTCTTCTAGACATTGAAAGTAGAAGAAACAGAATGAAGCAGTCTGTTGCTGTGGGCTGTGTTCCTGTTCTTCAGAGACCAAGGCAGGTGTGCTCTCTCCAGCTGACACCTGCTCACCATATAGCAGCACACACCGATCAACAGGGACACAGGGATGACTAAGACAGACAGGAACAAGCAGGAAAGATAGGACAGGTATCTAATTACACAGATACACACCCAAGCTACAATGATGGGCACTGATGTGACGTACAGGGATCCCATGCAGGGAAAGGAGTTCAAGGAAAGCTTCCTGTGGCTTTTCAACTTGGACATGAGCATGAGCAGGAGCTGGCTGGGCAAGGAGGGAAGGGAAGAGTGTTGGAAGCAGAGGGAACATCACGTGTAAAGCCCCCAGTGCTGCAGGTCAGCGAGGTCAGGAGTGAACTCAAGTGAGGATGAGGAAGAGCTAGACAGGGCAAAGTCTAAATAAGGATTTTGATTTTCATCATGAGAGGAATAAGAAGTTTTGGGGTTCTTTCTTTCTTTTTTTTTTTTTTTTTGGCTAATACCAATCAAGGTCACTTGGAAGCAGAGACACCAGATGGGAGGCTTTAGCAGTTGTCCAGGAGAGAACCTAGTGATGAACAGACCAGGGTGGCTACAGAAAGTAGCAGAAGCATGAGGAGAAAATGAGGTCAGTTTGAATACCATGCCTCTGGGAGCCTATAATCTTTCAGGTTGTGTTTCAGTATAAAATTTTTGGTACTGTTTTCCTTGATGTTAAACTTTTTGTTAAGTATTGATCCTTCTATCATTGTGAATCTCCTGAGAGAATGAAAAATGACTTCAAGCTGAAGAAAGTTAAAGTTGATAGCAGAGCATATGAATATTCTATTAAACTACTATAAGAACTGCAGAGATTGAGCTATTCACATGTTAATTGTTAGTTCATTAATATGATTGATTTCAAATAAGAGTACCTGAAATTTCAAATTAATGTTAGGGATTTGTGAGCTGGAAGGAGCATAGCACTGGACTTTATAAGGAAACTCGATCATCTTTCTTCTGTCACTAAGTGACTGAGACTTGAGTGATTCATTTATTTGTTTTCCTGAGTTTTACTCTCCTCATCTGTTTATTTCTCCTAAAATCATCATTCTCCAAAGGACTTAATAGTCAAGCTCTTTAGGGGACTAGGCTCTTCCAACTCTATGAAGAGGAACCCAAGCACAGAGAAGCTGGTGACTTGCTCAAGGTTAACAAAAGCAACATTGAACTCAGAACTTAGACATTCAACAAGTCCTCAGCCACACCAGCAGGCAGCCCTATCTTCATCTGTGAAGATTTTGCTTTAGGCACACTAATTAAAAGAATTACTGCAAAAGCCCTAACTTTTAGCAGGTAGACTTTTAATTGTTAGAAATTACCATATTTTTTAATTTGAAAGTATGTGGCTCCAGTTGTTGAGAAGTCCTCTTTATATTTAGCTTTAATTGTCCATACACCGAATCTGTGGAAGCAAGATGTTTAATATTATAGCTGTGATAAAATATTTTTAATTCACTCAGGGAAACTGAATAAATTCCTATTTTAAAGAAGTTACAATGAAAAAATATATATACTTATACACATGTTTATATATATCTTCTAAGTAAATGTTTTGTTTACGTGATATTTTTAAACAATAAACAGAAAAATTGAATATTTTGGGGATTATAGAAATTTTTAGTAATTAGTTCTTCGTATATTGGTTTATTTTTCCAAGGCTTTGTTTTTATTCTTTTTCTTTGAGGTATTGGAGATTGAACCCAGGGGCTCTCTACCACTGAGCTACATCCCCAGCCTTTTTTTCTTTTCTTTTGAGATAGGGTCTATCTAAGTTAGCAGGGTGACCTTGAACTTGTGATCCTCCCACTTCAGCCTCTGGAGTCACTAGGATTATAGGTTTGCATTATGATACCCACCTATTTTAACTTAATTTAGATTCATAAGCTTTGATTTGAAGAATTGATGATAACTTGAAATTTATTTAATCCTGGAGCTTAACTATGTTACCATAACACTGAAGTCCCAATAGAGCAGCAAATTCATAATAATAATAAATCTGGAAACATACACAATATATAGGTCAAGCATATGTGGATAATAATATTCACACCTTTTGTAAATGAAATTCTGGTTGGAGACAAGTTATGGTTTCTTTAAGAAGGAAAATGACCTACTTACCAAACAACCTTTATTCAAAAATATTTACTGAGCACTAGATAATGCACTAGAGATGTAAAAATGAACAAAATAGCTGGGCATGATGGCATACATCTGTAATCCCAGTGGCTCAGGAGGCTGAAGCAGGAGGATCACAAGTTCAAAGACAGTCTCAACAACTTAGCAAGGCCCTAAGCAACTTAGCAAGACCCTATCTCAAAATAAAAATAAAAAACAAAAAGTTCTGGAGATGTGGCTCAGTGATTAAGTATCCCCTCCCCGCCAAAAAAGAACAAAATAGAAGAAACCTGTTCTTCATGGAGCTAATAGGCCACATGAGTTCAAATTGTCACTTTTCTATTTACTAACAGGTTTAACTTGTGTAAGTTTACTTAACCTTATTTTGAAATGACAAAAAGAACACCTACCATAAGATTGATTGTCAATTAATGTTAATATTATGACTATGATTATTAGTATCATCATAACTCAATGAGTATTTACCAAGAGCCTATTATGTTGAAGTGCTGTGATATATCAGTGAGCTATATGGACAAGGCCCCTGCCCTCAAGGAGTTTACAAAATAGTGTGGAAGAAAAGGCAAGCTGATTAAAAGGTAAACAACTACCATATTGAAATAAGTGTCATGAAAAAAATACACAAATATGGAGATAAAGAAAGTGAGGGACTCCATAGATCGATAGCCTTTTTGCAAAGGCAGCATTTTCCCTGAGGCCTAAAGATGACAGGAAGCTTGCTCTGTGAAGGACAAGGTGAAGCACACTCTAAACATGGGCAACAGGCTGGGGAAACTACTGGTCAGTCAGATTCCCATTGCCAGTACATTATCTCCCAGTGACACAAGATAGAGACACCATAATAGTAGTGAAGTAATAGGCTTGATTCTGTACTCTACGGCATGTAGCATTTTCAAGAAAGGACACAATTTGTAAACCATTCAAATTATCAAAGTCACCCAATTTCAGTCCAAATTTTTAGGAAATGACTTGATAATATAATGAATTAAATGTTAACTCCCCTCTAGAGGACAGAGGAGAAATGACCATAAAAATATTGTGCCTCAAAGTTACAATGTAGCCATCTCTAATTGCCCTTGTGGTATGAGTCCTCCTCTATTTTAAGTTCCTTCAAAGCAGGTATTGTGGATTCTTGATTTCCATTGGGCATCTCTGCTTCCCATGGTGATTTACACATGCCAGGAATGTGTTCATTAATGGTGTGTTACATCAGATCCTGTGCAGACACGATTTTAAGTCCTTTCACGTGAAGACCAATGAGGAAATGACAGTCCAACTGTCCCCACGTTGGACTCTGGGTGGTCTATGCAGACAGAAACTACAGAGGACCTGATTATCTAACACCCAGGCAAGGAATGGCACCACGCCAGTCTCTTGGACCCATAGCCTACAGGATTCCTTCAGAGGTGGGAGGTGATGCTTTTGATGAAAAGAATCCCAAGGACTATTTTTGTCTCTTCCCAATTGTTATTTCTGTATGTTAAGATAATGAATGAGAAGTACTGGGATTTTTTTTTTTTTCCTCTTTTGAGACATGGTCTCACTATGTAGCCCATCCTGGCCCCCATCTCCTGGGCTTAACCAAATCTCCTACTTCTGCCTCCTGCAAGGTCTATCAACTCCTCTGGCCAGGCTCTAGTACTAAGGATGACCCCATCCCCCAAGGAACTGATCCAACTTTTCCAAAGACTGAAGACTTTGCATATCCACATTTGTGACATCTTTTGTTAACACTAGGTGGCTCCATTTGACTGTCTGCTTCAAGGTCAAAAGTTCCTGATGTGCTTTGTAGAGGGAACTTTATCAAGTAAACTTATTTTTACATACATAGGATTAGATGGAATCTTGAAGTCAGGAAAAGAGATAATCCCAGTATAATCATTTTCTTCTACTATGTCAACTTCTGATCCTTCAGGATCCTTAAAATAAAAACAAACACACCCTTGTCTTAGTTTATTTTCTGTGGCTGGATGGAATATCTGAGAGACTGGGCAATTGGTGAAGAACAGAGATTTATTTAGGCTCACTGTTCTGGAGCCTTGGAAGTCCAAGAGGATGGTGCTGGCATCTGGGGGGACCCTGGTCCTGTTTCCCTTATGGTGGAAAAGGGGAAGGGCAAACAAGCCCATGGGAAAGAGTTTGCTCTGATGACAAATCCTCTCCCAGAGAAATCACCTGCTCCCCTGAGAATGGCCTAATTCATTCATCAGGGTGGAGCCTTCTGACTCCTCCCCTGACCCCACCTCCCAACACTGCTTCACCTGAGCTTGGGGCACATACTCAATCCACAGCAGCCCTGAAAGCCCAGAAAGCACATTTTAACAAATTTCAACTAATTATATGATCTTTGACCTGCAAAAACACTTACCAACCAACACTCCTCTTTTCAAATTAAATATGAAAGACAAAATTCTGTTTAATGTTATTGAAGGCAAATATTGTTTGTTTAAAGCCACTTCCTTCCTGTTTTTGGAAGCTCTCCTGTCTGTCCTCATCATTTGGAAGAGGCTCTACTCTCTATTTCACAATTTAATAAAGAAGTGTAACAAAATGTAAACAACAGCAAAGTATCCTGAGGCTTCTAATAAATGAAATGTGAGCCTAGCAGGCTTTAGAAATATCAGAATTTATTTTTTATATGTGTTCACTTAAAATTCTCCAACGCAAATATTCAGCAAACTGAATTTTATTAGCTAGACAATTTATAAATGTGCAGTGTGGGCACTGTTTAAATTTATCTTTGTTTATTTAGTTTTTTGTTTGTTTTTATGGTGCTGGGGATCGAACCCAGTGCCTCACACATGACTAAACCAACTTGAAAGTTCTCATAAAATGTCCCTGCATGCTTCATTTTGCATTTGGTTTAGCATATTATTAGGATGAGGTTTTGTGGGTCTTGGAACTACACTTGGAGGTCAGGTTGAACCTTAAATGAAAATCTAAGCACTATTTATCCAGATTGAAATTCATGGTTGGAATTTTAAGCTTTTTTTTCCTCTTGAATGACAAACTGTAACAATTACAAAAGCCTATTTTGAGGAAGAAACTACACTTGTAGCTAAGTAGCTTCCCTGCTGTTCTTCATCTAATCATCAGTTTACAGGATCCATCTAATATGATCTTTCTGAGTAATCTTTTCAGGAAATTTACTGACTCCCTGAAGCTGTTGGATCAGCTCCTCTTCCTTCCCCTCCCTGGGGAAGCTCTTACTTGGGATCACTGGCATCCATTTTCTGTGTGATGCCAGGATTCGGCTTCACTCACGTTCAACCATGAGACCTGGGCTAGAGAGCCTGCGTCCACAGCCCTGGTATTCTCCAATAGAGCTGAGGTTGCTTCTGCTTAGTTCTCTTGCAGACAGTCTATAAGTCTGGAGTTTATTTACTCTTCTCACTTTTTAGTCTTCCTGCTCCATAGATGAACTCATGCTGTTTCTTAAATGGAATGGTATTTATTATTGTAAAAGAACCTATGTCTGTGTTACGGTTTAGATATTAGATGTCCTCCAAAAACTCATGTGTAAGAAGTGACACGATTTGGTTATAAGAGTAGTAATCTAATCAGTGCATTAATCCACTTGAAAGGATTAATTGGGTGGTTAGCTGTAGGCAAGCAGGGTATGGCTGGAGGAGGTGGGTTATTGGGGGTATGCACTTAGGGTTTATATTTTGTCCATGATGTGGGGGCACCTGCCCCCAGCCCCTCTGCTTCTTGGTGGCCATGCCTTGACCTGCTTTCCTCTACCACACTCCTGCAACATATCCAGCCTGATATTGGGCCCAGAGCAATGAAGCTGGTCATCTACAGTCTGAGACCTCTTTGTTTGTTTAAAGCCACTTCCTTCCTGTTTTTGGAAATAAAATAAATAAAATAAACTCCTAAAATAAAAATAAACTCCTAAAATTGTTTTTGTCAGTTCTTTTAGTAGTAGCAGCAAAAATTCAAGTCAATTCCTTTCAATAAGGCCCAGTTCAAGGGTTTCTTTATTTATTCCAGAAAGCATTACATATGCCTTCACTCTCACCCTATTTTGCTTTCCTCTGAGCTTCTGTCACCTACATTATTTTTCCTACTGCATAATTGGTTTAATTTATATTCTACTATAGTTTTTCTCTCTAGTATCTACTCTTTTGTACTTGAATTCTGACAAGGATTTGTTATTTTTCAGAAAAGGTGACCCAGCCTATTATAAAAGATCATTACCCCTATACCTACTATTAATAAGTGAGTAGTTATGAGTAATTGAAGTATTTTATTTCCCCATAAAAAATATCCTAGGTATGTGTGGAAACTGGGTAAAATTGTCAGTTTATTATATTCTTACTAACTGGGTAAGACCATGGAAGTTTATTACACATCTTTTGTTATGTATGTCATGTCTGACAAATGGCTGATAATTGCTCATGTCATAGTTCAACAAAAATTTCCACACATGTTAGCATACTAGTTATTAAACCCTAAGTTCCTTAAAAGTAAGAACTATGGATTATAATTCTTCATCTTAAATCATGCAAATCAAAAATCAATGCATAAGACAGATATTCAACTAATTCTTAGTGATTGATGGGTATTCTTAAAGATGAAATAATAAAGGATGTATTTAAACAGTTTAAATAAAATAAAATTCTTCAACTTGTTGAGATTTAATTTTTATTAGTTTTTTAAATGTATTTATATTATAGACATATACATCTATAATGCTATTTTGATAGTAGATGCTTAATAACCATTTATGGGATATTGAATGATTGAGTGTAGAGTAAGGACAAGATTATAGAATAGGACTTTTGAGTTAATATTATTTAAATAAATCATATACTTACAATGAAAGTTAAAACAGTTTTTCTTTTGGCAGGCTTCCAATCATCATTCAGAGAATAAACTCTAACCTTTACTGTAAAAAAAATTAATATAATCAAAAACTGTGCTAAGCATAAGAATATTTTGATGTTTAAAAACAATCATCCTTAAAAGAAAAATTATCATTTTAAAAACTTAATAAACAATCAATACCTGATAATCTATATTTAAAGCCAGGCACAGTGGCACACGCTTGTAATCCCAGTGGCTCAGGAGGCTGAGACAGGAGAATTGCAAGTTCCAGGCCAGCCTCAGAAATGGCGAGGTGCTAAGCAACTCAGTGAGACCCTGTCTCTAAATGAAATACAAAATAGGGCTGGGGATATGGCTCAGTAGTTGAGTGTCCCTGAGTTCAATCCCTGGTACCAAAAAAAAAAAAAAAAATACTTAAAAGAAAGAAAATGTCACTTTGTAGATGTTGATATTTCTAAAAATGCTTTATGTTAAAGGGAATCCTCTAGAATTTCTTTAAAGAGTTACTTCTCCAGTAATTTCTTTTTTTTTTTAATTTTGGTTCCAAATATTGATTGAATTCAGGAGTATTCAACTACTGAGCCACATCAGAAGCCCTTTTTATCTTTTATTTTGAGACAGGGTCTCAGTAAGTTGCTTAGGGCCCCACTAACTTGCTGAGGCTAGCCTTGAACTTTTGATCCTCCTTCCTCAGCCTCCAGATGTGCTGGGATTACAGGCATCCACCACTGCACCCAGCTCTCCCAGTGAATTTAAAGTACAATTTATTTTATTAAACAAGTCATGATAAATATAACTATAGTATAAAATTAGTTATATTAGGCCATTATTTGTTACAGATATCATAAGTAGCAAAATAGTGACATCTACCATATGGTTATATAAAAGAATAAAATATTGTTTTATATTAGGGTTAAAGATTTCAATGAAAAGTTGGGAGTTTGAATCAGACCTTACATACTTTATCACCTACAAAATCCAACAAGGCCCCAAATAGCTTTATTGCAAAAGGCAGCTTTAAATTATATGTTTTTGTTACATTTATTACGTCAGGTCTTTCCAATATTTTCTCATTCTTAGAAGTGTAATGCCAGGGGGCTGGGGTTGTGGCTCAGTGGTAGAACGCTTGCCTAGCTCATGTGAGGCCCTGGGTTCGATCCTCAGAACCACATAAAAATAAATGAATAAACGTTTGTGTCCAACTAAACTAATAAATAAATAAATATTTTAAAAAAGAAGTGTAATGCCAGGGGCTTATATTGTTAATTTTCTTTCTGTCAATTAATACATCCCTACTTTAAAAACATATCCTCTGTTCATCTTCCACCTCTTTGCTGTTTGATAAACACTGACCAAGTGCCTTCTAAGGACATGTTGTAATTTCTGTAAGGTTTTGCTGATGCCTAAATCATTTCATGGCCAAAGTTCTATCCACATAATAAAACTGGATTGGTATTATAAGCCCAATATGATTTACAGGATCAGTAAATAACAAGGCCATTGTTAAGGAAAGCACTGATAGCCATGAAAGGTCCCAGATATTGGGTATTAGACTAGGTACTTACTGGATAGTGACTCTGACCCTAGATGGTAGGCAGGGTAAACAGGACCCAGTCAAGGAGCATCATTAATACAGGAAGAAGAAAGGGCGAGGTTGTGCTTGTTTCTAGGTATGATCAAGCTTAAAAGACCTGACTTGTGTGGGGTAGAGACTGTTAACTTGTCACCAAGCCATCCTCAAGGGGCAGGAGATGGCACTGCTCCAGCAAGGACATTCTGTCTAACATGATGGCAATATCCCCACCCTCTCTAGACCTTTCCATTGAGAGGATTGTAACAGGTGCCCCTGCTGAAGAGGTAGTGGTACTGCCATGTCCCACCTCAGTGTTGATGCCAACTCCACCAACATTTAGCAAGTCCCCACTGTGTGCCAAAATTTTCAACAAAAACTACTGGTTCTGCCTTCTTTCCCCAAAACTATCACTAATAAAATGTCAGAGGCTCCCCCGTGTACAGACACATCTCTCATAATCCTGTCTCTGGCGTGGTCAAGAGGCAAAGATGGTGAGGAGGAGAGATGGAGAGGTGAAGGCTTTGCATACATGACCGTGTGGGCAGAATCATGCTTTTCTGGGTTTAACTTTTGGTCCACTGAGAATATTTCCAGGCACTCCTCACTAGGGTTAGACTGGCTATTCTGCTTTTCCCCTCTAACAAAACAGTGTGTTTAACAGACATTTTCTCAGGTAGAAACTCTTTGAAAATTAATATCCACACATTTCTGTGAGCTGGTGTATTCTCTGCTGAAACATCTAATCCCCTTGGCTTGGATTTGTTTCCCCAGTTTGGGGATCTGCTCCAGAGTAAATTTTTCATGTATGTGGTTCTATAATAAGTTATTTTCCCATTGCCAAAATTGTATTTGCAATTAAGTCTTACATTTGTTTAATAGGTAAGCTCAACATTTTACAAAGTTTAATAAGTGAAATAACTGTGACAGACCAGATAATTAAATTGTTTATTCCATAATTTATTTAGCAATTTCTCCCTAAATTAAAATGCTATTTGCAAATATAAAAGTCTTTAGGACTGAGTCTCTTGAGCAGGGTTGAAAACCTGTCTCCAATTTCAGGTGTTAAAAAGTTCTACAACACAGTGTCAATTTTCCCCAGAGAAGGAAGAATCTTGCACTCTACCTGACTGGTGAGGAGTGTAAACAGGTTTGTCTGTATGAACGAAGAGATATCCATTGTCATAGCTTATTGGCATTTTTTTTGATTTTGAAAAATGCTTTGATACGACTTCCAAATACACATATGAAACAGAGCCTTGTTCTCCAGACAGTTGTTTGGGTTGTATCTGTAAAAGAAAATATTGCTAGAAAAGAGAAAAGTAATTCTAGGGTTCTAGGACAAGTTGACTTTCTCAACACCACTGCAACCTCATTAAAATAAAAAATGAGTGTGTGTATCTCACCATTAGTGAAGTAGATTGGGATTCAGAAGAGTCAATTAAATTTACCCAAAGCCCTTTCAGTGTCAATTATTATCAACCTTATCTTTAAGAACGGGACAGTTGGGGCTGGGGATGTGGCTCAAGGGGTAAGGCGCTTGCCTGGCATGCGCGGGGCGCTGGGTTCGATCCTCAGCACCACATAAAAATAAAAGATGTTGTGTCCACCGAAAACTGAAAAATAAATATTAAAAAATTCTCTCTCTCTCAAAAACAAAAAACCAAACAAACAAAACGGGAAGTCTTCTTGGTTCTATGTTTGCTAAATTTACACATTCTTAATGCAGCCACTGCTACAGAACTGATGAGAAACTTCTGCCTGGTCGGCTCCCTGATGAGCCCTGCTCTCCACGGCCTCTGGCAGCCTGGCTTAGGCTCTGCACACTCTGTGCCCATCACACACTGCTGCTCCTGGGCCACGGTGCACGCTTCCCAATCTGAGCATATAATTATACTCATCCCCTTTACCTTCAATGATATGTGATTTTACACAAAAAATATGTAATAAAAGGAAGCACAGTGTTTCTCAGAAAATTAGGATTTAAAACACGTTGAAAATAAATACTAAAACCAAAGCTATAGAATTACATATTTGAGATTATTGTAGAAATTTTGAAAACATTGTAAAAATCTGTAGTATTCTATGCTCAGATTACTATGCAAAGCATCTTGATTTCCTTCTCCACTCTTAAGAAACACTACAGAACACGCATGATTCTGTAGTGTAACCTGTAATGAATAAGATTTGAACGTGGGTCAATGGACTTGTCCTTAGAAGATAGTGGCACAACATCTAACAATTGGCAGAAAAGATACATTGGAATGTTAAGATAAAATTAAATGCTTCATAAACATTGATTGGTTTAAATTTAAAGGTGAACACCACAGGTAGCTAGTAGCAACCTTACAACTTATCAGATAAGGAGTGCTTACTGAAAATAACACTTGTGGGGAATGAATTTTAATTCTTAATAAACCTGAAAAGTATTAGTATTTGCCATCAGAAGTTTCATGAAGTATCCCTATGCTGGCTAGAATTTATTAAGATTGATTTTCCTTAAACATGAGTAATATATGCACCACCTTTTAAAAAAAATTTATTTGTTTTAATTAGTTATACACGACAATAAAATGCATTTATGCACTATGATATATCATCTCATAGATGGGATATAATTTCTCATTTCTCTGAGCTTACATGTTGCAGAATCATTATTGGTGATGTAGACGCACATATACATACAGTAATAATTTCTGTTTCATTCTGCTATATTTCCTATCTCCACATCCCCTCCCCTTCCCTTCTATCACTTTCCTCTACCTAATCTAAGGTAACACTATTCTTCCCAGTGTGTCCTGCCTTATTGTGAATTAGCATCTGCATATTAGAGAAAACATTCAGCCTTTGGTTTTGTTGGATTGGCTTATTTTGCTTAGCATGATATTCTCCAACTCCAACCATTTACTAGCAAATGCCATAATTTTACCCTTCTTTAAAGCTGAGTAATATTCCATCGAGTATATATACCACATTTTCTTTATCTATTCATCTATTGAGGGACACCTAGGTTGGTTCCATAGTCTAGCTATTGTGAATTGAGCTGCTATAAACATTGATGTGGCTGTGTCCCTGTAGTATGCTGATTTTAAGTCCTTTGGATATAAACTAAGGAGTGGGATAGATGGGTCAAATGGTAGTTCTATTCCCAATTTTCTGAGGAATCTCCATATTGCTTTCCATAGTGGTTGCTCCAATTTGCAGTCCCACCAGCAATGTATGAGTGTACCTTTTCCACCACATCCTCACCAACATTTATTGTTGCCTGTATTCTTGATGATTGGCATTCTGACAGGAGTGAGATGAAATCTTACAGTAGCTTTGATTTACATTTCTCTAATTGCTAGAGATGTTGAACACTTTTTCATATATTTGTTGATCAATTGTATTTCTTTTTCTTTGAAGTATTTGTTCAGTTTCTTAGCCAATTTATTGATTGGGTTATTTGTTTTTTTGGGGGGGCGGGGTGTTAAGTTTTTTGAGTTCTTTATATATCCTAGAGAAGAATGCTTTATTGGAGGTGCATGTGGTAAAGATTTTCTCCCGATCTGTAGGCTCTCTCCTCACTTTATTAATTGTTTCCTTTGTTGAGAAGAAGCTTTTTAATCCTTCCCATTTATTGATTCTTGATTTTACTTCTTATGCTTTAGGAGTCTTGTTAAGGCCAATGTGGTGAAGATTTGGGCCTATTTTTTCTTCTATTAGGCACAGGGTCTGTTCTAGTGCCTAAGTCTTTGATCCACTTTGAGTTGATTTTTGTGCAGGGTGAGAGACAGAGGTTTAATTTCATTTTGCTACATATGGATTTCCAGTTTTGCCAGCACCATTTGTTGAATAGGCTAACTTTTCTCCAGTGAATGTTTTTGATACCTTTGTCTAATATGAAATAACTACATTTATGTCAGGCAGGGTTTGTCTCTGTGTCCTCTATTCTGTACCAATGGTCTACAAGTCTATTTTGGTGCCAATATCAAGCTGTTTTTATTACTACAGCTTTGTAGTATAGTTTAAGGTCTGGTATTGTGATGCTTCCTCCTTCACTTTTCTTGCTAAGGATTGCTTTAATTATTCTAGGTCTCTTATTTTTCCAAATAAATTTTATGATTGCTTTGTCTATTTATATGAAGAATGTCATTGGAATTTTAATAGGAATTGCATTAAATCTGTATAACGTTTTTGGTAGTATGGCCATTTTGACAATATTAATTCTGCCTACCCAGGTACATGGGAGATATTTCCATCTTCTGAGGTTTTCTTCAATTTCTTTTTTTCTTTTAGTGCTTTGTAGTTTTCATTGTAGAAGTCTTTCACCTCTTTTGTTAGATTGATTGCCAGGTATTTTATTTAATTTCTAGAAACATATGACCTATCCAAACTGAATGAGGAGGTCATACATGATTTAAATAGATCAAGTTCAAGTAATGAAATAGAAAAAGCCATCAAAAGCCTACCAGCCAAGAAAAGTCCAGGACCAGATGGATTGTTTTACAGAATTAAAAGACTTTCAAAGAAGAATTAACACCAATATTCTTAAAAGTATTCCATGAAATAGAAAAGGAGGGAACCCTTCCAAACTTATTCTATGAGGTTAATATCACCCTGATATCAAAACCAGACAAAGACACAACAAGGAAAAAAAAACTTCAGACCAATATCCCTAACGAACATAGATGCAAAAATTCTCAGTAAAATTCTGGCAAATTGCATACAAAAACATATCAAAAGGAGAGTGCACGATGATCAAGTAGGGTTCATCCCAGAGATGCAGGGTTGGTTCAACATATGGAAAGTAATAAATGTAATTCATCATATTAATAGACTTAAAAACAAGAATCATTTGATCATCTCAATAGATGCAAAAAAAGCATTTGACAAAATACAGCACACCTTCATGTTCAAAACATTAGAAAACCTAGAGATAGTAGGAACATACCTCAACATTTTAAAAGCTGTATATGCTAAACCCAAGGCCAGTGTCATTCTAAATGGAGAAAATTTGAAAGCATTCCTGCTAAAAACTGGAACAAGACAAGAATGTCCTCTTTTACCACTTCTATTCAACATCATCCTTGAAATTTTAGCCAGGGCAATTAGACAAAAGAAAGAAATTAAAAGGATACAAATAGGTAAAGAAGAACTCAAACTATCACTATTTGCCAATGACATAATTCTATATCTAGAAGACCCAAAAAATTCCACCAGGAAACTTCTAGAACTAATAAATGAATTCAGCAAAGTAGCAGGATATAAAATCAACACCCATAAATCAAACACATTCCTATACATCAGTGGTGAATCCACTGAAAGAGAAATTAGGAAAACTACTCCATTCACAATAGCCTCAAAAATAAATAAATAAATAAATAAATGAAATATGCACCACCTTTTTAACTGGGGAATGAGCCCAAGGGGATCTTACACTGAGCAACATACCCAATCATTTTTTAATTTTGAGACACGGCCTTGATAAATAGCTGAAATTATCTTTGAACTTGTGATCCTCCTGCCTTAATCTCCTAAATTGCTAGGATTAATTGGTGTGCACCACTGCGCCTAGCTCTATACATTTTTTAAAGGATAAAATATATAAAAGATTCTCAGCATTGACACTTGATTATTTATAACATATTTTAAAAAGACATAAATAAATATAAACCTAATATAAGGTAGAATCTTATGCTTATGACTTTTACAGAATTAAAAAGTAAAAACAGGGCTTGGGGTGTGGCTCAGCGGTAGAGCATTTGCTTAGCATGTGCAAGGCCCTAGGTTCTATCTTCAGCACCACATAAACATAAATAAATAAAATAAAGGTATTGTATCCAACTAACACTAAAAAATAAATATTTTTAAAAATCAAGACAGATGTACAAAATGAGTTCAAAAATTAGAAAAGTAACATAATTTTAAGCTCTTTATAAAATTTAAATTTTTAATTTCTTTTTAAACAACTCATTGGAGAGAAACAATGATGCAAATGAGTCCCAGAGGTCCTTTCAACTTTGATGTTTAATTTTTCTGATTCTTTTTAAATATCAGAATTTTAAATAAGAAATGAATCATAAGCATCCTCAAGTCTGTACTGCAGTATCTTAATAGAAGAAGTTATTTGGTCAAGGTTGATATTTCTATTTACTGTGGAATGCTGATGAGAGCTATTCACTTTAGCAGTCAATAGTCTTATTACTTTTGGAAGCTATGGTTTTAGAATATTTGCGTTTAAACAAATGCACACAATTTTACTTCCCAATTAGAATCTGAACATTCACTTGTATTGAAGACACAATTTTTCAGTTTAGAATTTTCTATTTCACTCAGATTAGCATTATCAACTGATAATCATCTAATAATTACACAGTGGTAGCGTGGTGCAAATGGTCAAATCTTATGTTTATCAATATTCAAATTTTGTACATATTTTATCAGAAATATTCTGCATATAAAAATAAAATGAAGGATAAATACATACCGTTAAGATTGCAGAGTTTTGGAATTTATTTTCTGGGGATAAAATAACATAGCTTGAAGAGTAACTAATTTTTTTATCAGGATAACTTTTAATAGAGACTGTTGCATCAAATGCTTCAGTGTATCCATAAACTTGAATTACAATATTTTCAGATGCTCCAACATGAAATATGTTCGGTGCTGAAATGACATAGCTGTTGAAATAGGAAAAAGTTCAGTATCTTTATAAGACATGTGTTCTTACACTGATTTTTTTCTCTCACTTGTGAGATTCAACTTAAAATAGACATATTTCAACTTAAATAATACTTAAAAATAAAAATTTATTTTGTGATCTATGATAATTTCAGCATAGTTTCTAAGAAAAAAAGAGGTTGGAATTAAGACCTGGGAAATAGAGCTGGGGATTTTGTTTATGTTTGGAAAGGTAATAATAGCAGCCAGGGAGAACTCCATGGTATTCACGGCAACATAGAAGTGGGCACTTGTTTTTCTCCCTCCCTCCCTCCCTCCTTCCCTGTCTTCCTTCTTTCCTTTCTTCCTTCCTTTCCTCCCTCTCTATCTCCTTTTCTCCCTTTCTCTTTCCTTTTACTTCCTTTCTTCTGTCCCCCTTTTTTCTTTCTCTTCCTCCCTCTCTTCCTCCCTCTCTCTCTCTCTTTCTCCCATTGAAGTTAAAAAAAAAAAAAAAAATACAGGTGCTAAAAACTGAATTTCAACCCTGCCATCTGCTGGCTGAATGACTGAGGTAAAGTCACTAATTTTCCCTGAGTCCAAAATAATACATCTGTTAAAATTTCAGCATGTATTTTCTTTAAACCAGACTGTGGTCAGGATTAAATAAGAGCATGTATATGACAGCACCCAGCATACTTAGTACTCAACATTAAGAATAAGATCCACCAATTTCACTAAGTTAGTTCAAAAGAACTGATCTTAGAAAGATGCCTTTCTAGTTAGGGTATAAAGACGCAGAATATGAGTGAGCTGGAGGAAGGTATCTGGCAGTAGTGATGGAGTTCTGTGAGGTAACAAAAATAACAATAATCATACAACAATAATCATAAAGGCAGTAACTTGGGTAGTGATGTGTCAGAGCATGTTGGCACTTCCATAGAGCTCTTCTCATCTTTATAAGCCGGTGATGTAGGTGCTATTATTATTCCTGTTTTAGTGATCAGAGATTAATTTGATCAATATCTCAAGTAAATGAGGTGAAAATTTACATTAGGGTCCCAGTTGTATATAATGTATATAATTGGGGTTAAAGTTACAAGCACTGTTCCAACCATTGGCTGTTGCCTCCATTTTACTTTTATGCCTTTATATAAGAATAGAAATGAACCTATACAAGCTTTAAAACACAAATTTTAAGATGTGTAACTTTTCATTGTCTTATTAGATGCACTTATAATAAATAGAATATTTTTATGTATCACTGAAGTATCTAATTTTAATAGTGAGAGCTGCATATGAAGCATTTATCAACCAAAGGCCTTAGTGATTGACTAAGTGAAGTGTTCCGACAGGCTTGGGGGGCACCCACCACCACACTGGGCAGAATTACTGCACTGCACTTTCTTTTTCTTTCTTTCCTCCTTTCTCTGCTTCCTGGCTGTCATATGGTAAGTAGCCTTCTCCTCCACCCTCCCACTGTCATGATGTTCTGCTTTGCCTCAGACCCAAAACAATGCAACCAGCTAACAATAGTCTGAAACCTCTGAAATCATGAACCAAAATAAGTTTTTCCTCCTTTAAGTTGTTTTTCTCAGGCATTTCCCTCAAAACAATGAAAGCTTGTAACAAAGATACCTTTATCAAATATTTACTATGTGCTAGGCTCCATCCTAAGCACCTATATATTCACACACATATGTTTTAGTCAGCTTTTTATGTCTCTGTGATCAAAAGATCTGACAAGAACAATGTAGAGGAGGAACAGTTCATTTTGGCTCCTGATTCGAGAGATTTCAGTTCATAGTCAATTAACTCCATAGCTCTGAGCCTGAGATGAGGCAGAACATGGCATTGAAAGGGCGTGGCAGATGACAGCAGCTCAGGACATGGCAACCAGGAAGCAGAGAGAGAGAGAGCACTGTGCTCAACAGAGACAAAATATAAACCCCAAAATTGTGTCCCCAGTGACTTACTTCCTCCAGCCACACTTTCCCTGCCCACAGCAACCACCCAGTTAACCTGTATCAGTGATAAATCTACTAAGTTACTGCTCTTATAATTTAATCATTTCACTTCTGAACATTCTTACATTGTCTCATACATGAGCTTTTGGGGAACACATCGTTTCTAAACCATAGCATCCCACCTTTGACCTCCAAATGTTTATGTCATCTCACAATATAAAATACATTCATTTTTTTTAGAGTCCCATAGTCTTAATAGCACTGTTGAAAGTCCATATCCAAATCTTATCTGAGACTCAAGGCAAACCCTTGGATACTTTCCCTTGTGAAGATCAATGGCAAGTTATATATGTCATATAAACATTTTCATTTTGCAAGGAGGAAATAAGAACGTAAAAAGAAAGGATGAGACCAAAGCAGGATTATAATTTAGCTCAGCAATCAAATCCTGTAGCTCCATGTCTAGTATCTGGGGCACATGGCATTGTAATGGTTTTTCTAAAAGGCTTATGTAGTTTTGCTCTATGGCCTTGTTGACTGTAGTACATATGGTCCTCTCTTGGCTTGCCTCTGCTCAATTCCAGCAGCTTTCCTTGCCAGACATTTCATAGTACTGTTATCCCTCGATCTTGAGGGTTTCCATTGCAGCTTCAGCTTCTTTCTCACATCTTTATGCATCACATCCTCAGGGGATGCTCACAGGGACTGTGTGGTTTCCCACCATCTTCAGCAGTAGCCAAACCTCCTGGAACCACACCTGCAGCAGCCTCTGAGTGCCTGGGTGGCTGATCATTGTTTAAAAAACAAACAACAACAAAAAAAAAAAAAACAAAAACTTCCTAGGCTCCCCTGTGTAAGCAGGGTACTCCTTTGTCTCTTCTCAAATAAATTTTTACTTCTATACCCTTAAGCCTAAGGGGCATAGTCTTGTCAATTTCTAAGATGCCCTTAAGCCATCTTTCTTATTGTTTTGAGTACAGTGGTTAGCATCTTTTTAGTGGTTTTAATCTCTTTGACAACTAAAATGTTCATAGTCCCAGTTTTATTCGCACTTGTTTAACCAAATTGGATATTTTTCATATCTTTCTTCTCTGGATTCTTTCCTGATTATCACAGTAAACTTGGCTAAAATTCATCAGCAATATTTATGCCACTCCATGAATGTTGTACTGCCTTGAAATTTCCTCTGCCAGATAAATTAGTCCAGCACTTTTCAATTTAGTCTCACGGTAGGTGTTAGGACATGTACAAAATATAAGCAACTTTTTTTTTGTCTGAATGTAACATTAATGGCCTCCAGTCCAATTTTCAATAGAGTCCTCTTTCTCCTCTGAAACCTCATGAGCCCAGTCAGTATTTACTGTCTGCAGTTCTGTCAGCATTCTGAGCCCCCACTAGATTCACCCATTCAGCTCTACTTACAACATTTTTTAAGTTTTTCAGCTTTTATCTCTAGATTTTTCAAAATTCTCCCTCCCCTTTAATCCAGCTCTGAAGGCTTTTGAAGTACATGGTCAGGGTAGTCAAAGCATTAACCCTACTCCTGGTATCAACTTTTGTTTTGGTCATCTTTTACACCACTGTAACCAAAAGACCTTACCAGAACAATGTAGAGGACAAAAAGCTTATTTTGGTTCATAGTTTTAGAGGCTCAATCCATGGTCAGCTGACTTCATAGCTTTGGGCCTGAGGCAGAACATCATGATAAAAGCACAAGGCAGGGCTGGGGATGTGGCTCAAACGGTAGCGCGCTCACCTGGCATGCGTGAGGCCCAGGTTCGATCCTCAGCACCACATACAAACAAAGATGTTGTGTCCGCCGAAAACCAAAAATTAAATATTAAAAATTCTCTCTCTCTCTCTTTAAAAAAAAAAAAAGCACAAGGCAGATGAAAGAAGCTAAGGACATGGCAACCAGGAAGAAGAGAAAGCACTCTGCTCTTAAGAGACAAAGTATAAACCCCACAGGTGTCCCCCAGTGACCTCCTTCCTCCAGCCACACCCTATCTGCCTACAGCTACCACCCATTTAATCCATATCAGTGAATTAACCCATTTATCAGGTTACAGCTCTCATAATCTAGTCTTTTCAACTCTGAACATTCTTACTTTGTCTCATACATGAGCTTCTGGGAGACACCTCCTATGGAAACCATAAAAATATAAAAACTATTATTTTGCTACACCTATTAAGTGAGGAAAGTCCTATTACTGCTCCCATTTTCAGATGAACAAACTGCCAATTAATATGTTCAGGTTCTTAAAAACTGAAGCTGAATAACCTGTTTCTGGATTTAACACTTTCAATAGCTGTCTTAAATTGAATTTAATAAGAATTTTGCAATCAGAAAAATCTAGGGGTGTCCAATCTGAACACTCCTATCCAGTGTAGTATTGGACATTTTTACCAGCACAATTACACAAGAGAAGAAAATAAAAGGGATAAAAACAGAAAAGGAAGAAGTCAAGTTATCACTGTTTGCAGACATGACCTTATATGTAGAAGATCTAAAAAGCTCCACCAGAAGACTGTCAGAACTAAGAAATTCAGCAAAGTAGGAAGTTAAAAAAATCAACATACAAAAATCAATGGCTTTCCTATGCATGAATAATGAATTTGCTGATAAAGAAATCAGGAAAATAGGCTGGCACTGTGGCGCACACCAGTAATCCCCAGCTGCACAGGAGACAGAGGCAGGAGGATCTTGAGTTCAAAGCCAGCCTCAGCAATTTAATGAGGCCCTAAACAACTCAGAAGACCCTGTTTGTTAGAAAAAAAAATACACACACACACACACACCCAAAATACATGGCCAAGAATGTGGCTCAGTGGCCAAATGCCTCTGAGTTCAATCCCTGGTACAAAAAAACAAAGAAGCTGACAAAAACCCTAGGAATAAAAATCTAATCAAGGAGATAAAAGACCTCTACCACAAAAACAATGGAATATTGAAGAAAGAAATTGAAGAAAATACTAGAAAATGGAAAAAACTGCCATTTTCATGGATCAGCAAAATTAATATTATTAAAATGGCCATATTACCAAAAGCAATATATAGATTCAATATTTTTCTAACCTGACCATGCAATCCCTATCAAAATAACAATGACATTTTTCACAGAAATAGAAAAAAAAAAACCTACAATTCATTTGGAAGAAAAAAAATCTAGAGTAGCCAAAGGAATTCTAAGCCAAAAAAGCAATGCTGGAGGCATAACAATATTGACTTCAAATTATACTATAGAGCAATGATAATAAAAACTGCAGGGAGCCAGGTGCAATGGCACACACCTGTAATCCCTGTAGCTCTGGAGGCTGAGGAGGAGAATAGCAAGTTCAAAGCTAGCCTCAGCAATTTAGAGAGGCACTAAGCAACTCAGTGAGGCCGTGTCTCTAATAAAATACAAAATAGTCTAGGAATGTGGCTCAGTGGTCAAGTGCCCCTGAATTCAATCCCCATACTCCCCCACCAAAAAACAAAGGGCTAGGGAGGGGCTAGGGTTGTGGCTCAGTGGTAGAGCTCTTGCCTAGCATGTGTAAGGCACTGAGTTCGCGTTTCAGCACCACATGTAAATAAATAAAATAAGGATCCATTGACAGCTAAAAAATATTTAAATTAAAAAAAGGCTGGGCATGCGGCTCAGTGGCTAAGTGTTCCTGGGTTCAATCCCCAGTACCAGACAAACAAAAACTGCATAGTACTGGCATAAAAGCAGGCATATAGACCAATGGTACAGAATACAAATACAGAGGAAAACCCACATATCCAGTTGTCTGATCCTTGATAAAGGTGCTAAAAAAAACATTGGAGAAAAGACAGCTTTTTAAACAATGGTGCTGGGAAACTGGTTATCCATAAGTAGAAGGATGAGACCAGACCCTTATCTACCACCCTGCACAAAAATCAACTCAAAATGAATCGAAGACCTAGGAAATTGACCAGAAACTATATAACTCCTAGAAGAAAATATAGAGTGTCTCTCTCTCTCTCTCTCTCTCTCTCTCTCTCTATATATATATATATATATATATATATATATATATATATGCAACAATTTCTTCATTAGGACTCCTAAAACTCAGGAAATAATACCAAGAATTAATAAAAAGGATGACTTCAAATGAAAAACCCTCTGCAAAGTAGAGGAAACAATTAAGAATATGAAAAGAGAATCTTAAAACATAGAAGAAAATCTTTGTTATTTACTGTTTGACAGAGGATTCATATCTAAAATATATAAAAAATTCAATAAACTGAATGCCAGAAAAAAGCAAATATCCCAATTAATAGGTGGGCAAATAAATTAAGAAGAATTCCTCAAAAGAAAAAATATAAGTGGCCAATAAATACATGAAGAAATGTTCAAATATCTTTAGCAACCAGGGAAATGTAAATCAAAACTACAGTGGTATCTTACCTCACTCCAGTTAGAATGGCAACCATCAAGAATATAAACAATAATAAATACTGGGGAGGATGTGTAGAAAAAGGAACTTATATACACTGTTGATATTGTAAATTAGTATAAATACTATGGAAATCAGTATAGAGTTTTCTCAAAAGACTAGGAATGGAACATGACTCAGCTATACAACTACTTCGTATTTATTCTAAAGGATTAATGTCATCATATTACAGTGATACATACATACACATTTATAGCAGCACAATTCACAAAATCCAATCTATGGAACTAGCCTAGGCATCCATCAGTGGATGAATAAAGAAAATATTATATATTTTATACAAACACACACACATGCACACACACACACAAAAACAAAACGGAGTTTATTAAGCCATAAAGAAGAATGGAAGAAACTTGAGAACATTATCTTAAGTGAAATAAGGCAAACTCAGAAAGTACAGGCTCAGATGTTTTCTCTCATATATGGAAGCTAGAGAGGAAAAAGGAAATGAAGGTGTGCAGCAAGGAAGGACCTCATGAAAAATCAGAGACCAGTAGAGTATTGGAAAGGGACCAGGGATAGAGAGGGGAGGATGGAAAGGGTAGCTACTGGGGAAAAATACTGATCAAATTATGTTGTTATATTGTGTGCATGTATGAATATGTAACATCAAATACCACATTATGTATGATTATAATGCACCAATAAAATATGGAAAATAGAAAAATCTAGAAATAAAAGGCTATTTTATTTTCAGTATTTTTTAAAAGTTTATATTTTTTAGTTCAGTACTGAGTTGTTTACGTGGTGGGAGAAGTGACACATAACCTATTTAGTGTTTAGAAGTCCTTAAAAATGGTTCTGGAATTCTTACTGATGTACCAGTATTATGATCTAGCCATATGAGGAATTTTATATTTTCATTTTCTTTCAACAGCTGCAGAGGATCAGGCCACTGAGCTTGCAGAGAGGTGAGACTGCATCTTTGGCCTTTACCTAGAATGTTTTCCCCAGATGATTGCATGGCTTCCTTCCTCACTTCTTCAACATCTGCTCGAGTGTCATCTCCTTAACAGAACCCTCCTGTCCATATTTTTAAATAGTGCTTCATCAACTTTTTATCTTTGTGCTTTTCACTTCAAAATACTAATAACTACCTACTCTCATTTATTCTTTCATTCATTGGTTCATTTATTCATCTTTTGCTTGTATGAAAGATAATCTCTAGGAATTATCTTTTCTCATCTGTAATACCCTCAGTGCTATTACATGCTAGGTGTTCCATAAATATTTGATCAGTCAGTCAAATAGTCAAAGTAATTAATTACCATGTTGTAAACAGCACACTCTCACGTCTTCAGAGCAGGTGAGGAGGTGCTTTCTATTAAGGGCCAATGCAATGTAGTGGGGAAGAATTCAGAATGTCCTTGGACAAGGATCTTAGGATCCCAGGTTCTATCCCTAGTTCTGCCACTAATGTAAAGTCAATTAATACAAACTTCTATGAGCTTCAATTGTTTGTCTTTCAAAAAGAAATAAAAATTAATTAAGGTAATGGTGTGATTGTGGCCATGTGATAAAATCTAAAGACTAGAAATGAGAAAATACTACAAATTTATGATATTCTAAGTATATATTTATATTTATAATACATTTAACATGTTTATATGCACATTTTTTGACACTGGAAAAAATTGGTGATAATGAGAACACATGAATGAAAGTCCTGCCCCTCTCTCTCTCTCTAGGAGTGTGACCTTTGGCCAATCCCTTGCCCTCTCTGGACTTATCCTCACATATGAAACAAGTTGGTTCTATTAGATAATACCTGGTTACTTTTCAGTACTTAAATATTATTTCTAGATATGAGATCATTATTTTTAAGACATAATTAAAAATGTACAGGCTTTCAATACCACTAAAAGTTGTAAAGAATCAGCTCAGAAATGTAGACATAATTAATTACAACAATAAATTTTCAAATCGCAGTATTAGAATTGACCCCCATGTAACTCTGGCTTAACTGTGTGTAATCCATGAAAAACACAAGTCAAACTAAGTATTGAATACAAATAAGCAAGAAATGACAAAATTAAGTTATTATCTTGAGTTGACTTTGTGCCTTTTTGAAGTGGAATGTGAATAATCACTTATGTACATTTTTATAAATAACAATCTCATAAAAGCTGTCACTTTGTTAGTCACTTATCAAATCAAAACGCTGCCTTGGTTTTCTCATTCAGAAATGAGACTACCTATTTGGTGCTCTCAGAAGGAGAGAGTTATATTCAAATCAACACAATCTGTTGAATTTGCTTTTTCACTCATCACTATAAGATACATTACAAAATGAAGATGAGTTGTTTTACTCACATTTGTTCCTGTCCCTGTCCCAAACTTTTCTCCAGGAAAATTAAAAAACAAAGTATTTCCAAAAGGCCCATGGCTAGAGGTGGTATAAAACCATGGACATAACCTGCTTGAAGCCTACTTTCCTTTCAAATAAATTGAGTTTAAAGAGTTGGATAAATTAGTTTTCTGGTTAATTATTAATTCTGAAAGAGGGAATCTCTAAATAAGAAAACTAAAATTGAAACGAAAACACCCTTTCATACCTAGGAATAAGGATAGGAGGTATTTTGGAGAAATTTACACCCAACCCAGGGGGAACTTACTTTTATAAATACAAATAAAAGAACTCTAATACCAGAATTGGCACTATGAAGAATGGCTCAATGCTAAAAACCAGGAAGCCACACATTTTCCCTTTCTTCTCTGTGTTTGATCATTTTCTGCATGCATCTGGTAAATCCCATTTGTTTCTGATACTGACAAAATCTTACCTGGGTTCCATTTTAAACGGAGATGACTTCAGAAGGAGTCTGAAATAGTCAAGGCTCATGAGGTTGTCTCTTTTAGAGAAGACCTGGTTGGGTCCATCCTTGGTGTTGGAAATGGTCTAAGGATAACCTACATCTGTAAAGGGAGTCCAAGGAATAGTTCCTTGTCTTCCCCAGTCTAGGGAAGGAGCTGAACATTAGGCAGAGAAAAGATTGTGACTGGAAACCAGCATGTCATGCTCAGGATGCTGCCATCATTCTCTAAGTACCAACCAAACACTTTAGTGTTTAGTGGGGAATGCATATCCTCCAATATCTCTCAATTCATATATACTGCTCATTTAAAGATTAATATACATTGAGAAATAAAATATATTTATGTAAAAAATAATGTTTCAGTAAAGATTTTAATAATTTAAAATAAGAGCTCAAAAAATAAAACTATATAACAATGGAATATCGTACTATATTTTTTTAAAAATTCTTTAATAATTATGTTTATTTTTATGATGTTTTGTATTAATAAGACATTTCTAAATTTATACCTTTATTATTATTCATTTCCACTTTAGAATATAATAGGTACTCTATTTTAAATAAAACAGATGTCTCTAAACATATTTCTATAAATTGAATATTTATGGTCACATTGACATTGCTTGCATTGAATTAATAAGGTTCTATTTACAATATAAAAGAAAATTTGACATAAATATTTCACTAAGGTTTCTCTAATAAATATCATTGAAATGGCAGAAATCTGCCACTATTATCTGAACATCTAAGGCCACTTGTCTCAAAAGAAAATCTGTAAAATGATTCAGATGTAAAAGATGGGTCAAGTTAAAACAAACAAAACACTTTTGCCATCATTTTCAGGAAGGGAAATTTAAGGTGTGGGGTAATATGTTGTTTTAAGTGCAAACAAGTTTATTTGTTTGTGCTATAGGGTAAATACTAATAAGTGGTATTTTCATGTTCCACTGGTAGAAAATATTTACAGAACAATGGAGTTCAAAGATTCTGAATAGAACTGAAGTTCAACAGTTTATAGATTTTTCAATTAAAATTTAACTAAAAGTTTAACTAAAAGTTTTTTTAAATCTGTCTTTTAAATGTGGATCAAAGATGGAATTTTCTTTATTTGTACAATGCGAACTTTGAGTGAGTCTTTGGTTTTATTTTATTTTTGTACAAATACTACATTTCTAAAACAGGAGAATCTCAAATCTGGCAGAAGCTTTGATGGTCACTTAACCTGGATTCTGGCCTCAAAGTGGAAGCTAAATGATTTAACCTGGTTCACAGGGCCCCTCCTGGTCCAGTCCTACTTGGTTCTCCAGCCTCCAAGTTCCCATTCTTCCCTACAGCCAAGGGTCTGAAGTATGATGATTCCCTGAAGTCACCATGACATGAAAGTGCTCCTAGAAGGGTAATAATTTTACATATTTAAATGGACAGTCTTTGAATACTTATCTCACACTTACTTAATTTAAAAAAGTCTAAAAACTTGTTTTCTATTAATTCAAACTATAGATCTCTTTTTATATATGATAAAAATTATATAATTTTTAAAAATATTTTTTAGTTGTAGATGGACACAATACTTTTATTTTACTCATTTTTATGTGGTGCTGAGGATCAAACCCAGTGCCTCACACATGCCAGTCAATTCTCTACCACTGAGCCATACCCCCTACACTGATGATAAATGATTTTATTCTGTATGATTTTCTTTTCTTTTCACAATTCCAGGATTATTTGAAGCAATTCAGACAACATCACTGAGTCTTAGGGAAGGGCTTATAGATATCTTCCAGTAGTTGCAAATATTATTTTAAAATCAGGGCTTACATCATTATACCAAACAACTCTATTGTGCACCGCTATCTGCTAGGCTGTAAATTTTTAAAATATTTTTTTAGTTGTCCATGGACCTTTATTTATATATGTTGCTGAGAATCAAACCCAGTGCCTCACACATGCTAGGTAAGCACACTACCACTAAGCTACAACCCCAGCTCCTAGGCTGTAAATTTTTATGAAATTTGTTCAGCTATTATATACCATTTTAAAAACCAAACAACTCATAGGGAGGAAATATTAATGGGTTTTAAATCAGAGAACAAAATGTATCAATATTTTGTGTATTACTGTTTTCAGAAATTTTGCCCACCAGATTGCTGGCTTTAGGTACCTGCTGCCTGGCTGGTGCAGAAGAGGTGGTATGGCCCATAACTGCTTCATGTAATTTACACAGGCCTGTTCAATCTCTGGAGGCCACCAGAGAAACAGAGGTGTCTCCCCAGAATTAGATCATTCTCAATTGAGACCTGGGATTATGCTTGGTATGTTCGACAGTGGAAGAGCGGCACTTGGTTGTTCTGGGTATAACACATTTGCTCCTCAGCCTGCTTTTTGGCTCAGCCCATAGTCTCATGCCTTCATACAGTTCTTCTTAATCTTCTTATACCCTCGGTTTGACACATATTTGGAACTCTGGGTAACACATGAATTACTGCTTCTGGCTCTGGAGAACATGGCACACTCAAGAGCCTTTATAAGTGCTTTCCCTGGATAGCAGTGTGGAAGGGAATCTCCGAATGCAAGCTACATCCAGTTAGGGAAACTTATGAGTAAATATCTCTCATTAGCCTATTGTTTCCCATTGGATATGTGTGTATTTAAATGGGCTGAAATATATACTGAGCTACCAAAACATTTATTGAAAAAAGTCTGAGAGGGAAGTTCAAAAATGACAACAGAGAGAAGCTGCTATAGGTGAAGAAGAGTGGAACAGCCCTGCTATTTACCCGTTGTTCCCCATTTACATTCCCAGCTGATCCTTGAGAACAGTTTCCCATACCTTTCTTCAGAGTGGGTGGGGCGAGAGGGAAGATGCACCCTTCCAGGGAATCCCCCAGTGACAACCTCATCCAGCCTCACTCCACATGCCTATAAGTTACTGTCCAGGAGGGAGTGATCAAGTTATAGCTCTCATAATCCAATCATCTCACCTCTGACTATTCCTGTATTAACTCAGGAAATTTGGGGGACACCATGGATCCAATCTATTAACAGTGGCGTTGACTAAATTCTGCTTTCTACAAAAATAAAACCAAGATACATTTCAAATGAAAATAGCATTTTTCATTGACATTTGCTCCTGTCCCCAGCTTCTACCCAAGTAGAAAAAAAAAGCACAGACTATGCTTAAAATGTCTATGCCTGGCGTAGCTTTTAGGTCATTGACAGAAGAACCTTTCTTGAAACTGCACTTTTTGTGAACTCAGATTGAAATATTTGGTTAAATTAGTCATCAAGTGAATTATTAATGTTAAATAGGAGAAACATGGAGAGGGAAACCTCTAAACTTAAACGGCAACCTTTTAATGTTCCCAGGTAATTCCAGAATTCAGAGGAGAAACTTGATTTTGATATGTAAAATAGAAAAGACACTCAAATGCTAGTCTCTAGGAAAATGTTTCAAACTGGACACAGACACAAACTGTCTGGAGGCTGCTCTGGTTGTGCATATTTTCTGGGTGTAGTAGAGGCCATTGACCTGCTGACCAGATCACTTTTTACTGACCTATTACTCCCATCCTACAAGTGCTAAGTGTTGGCTGTCGAAGTTTCCTTACTCTGCACTTCTGCAGTTAACCCAGCTCATTCATGGAAGACAGTTTGCCCAGCAATATCTTAGAAGTTCCATTCTTTCCCTGAGAGTGGTAGACAGTCAACAGCTGGCAGTGCAACAGGCTTACTCAATGGCCTCAAGGTGGGACAACTTTGTGGCAGCATTTGTGCTTCTGAGCCCCCATGAGATCGGGCTGAGGCCAAGCCTCAGTCTTTGCTTTCTTGTGCTTTTCTCTCTGCTACTGTGAGATCAGTCTTGGAGATAAGCCATTTCATGCAAATGTTCCCGTTTCAGGTTTTACTTCTAGGGAAACACTTTAAATTTAAGGAACATGAATGATGATGGACTGTTATCCTGAACTTCATGGAGAATGTCTCATGGCTGGAGACGTTTGTGAGGCTTCCCTGAAATGGATCTGGATTGAGATGGGTACCACGAAGCCTGTACTAATCCTCTGTAGAGCAAATATGATGTCCCAAAACAACCTCCTAAATGCTGAGATGTTGCAGAAATCCGGGACTAGAAATAAGCCACACTGGCCAGAACACAGACAGGGAAGCTATGAACTATTGCTGTCCTACGCTTCCTCCAGCCTGAACTCAATTGCATGCATGAACCAATACCAAACTACAAGTTTTTAGGTACATCAGGTATGGCTGCTGGATAGGGACACAAATTTTGTAATTGTCTCTTTACTTGTCTATTTATCTCCACCAGATGATAATTTCCATGAGAACAGGCACTAGGTCTAATATATACAATGGGGACACCCCCCTCCAGATTTATGGCAATGACATAAAAGATACTTGAGCCCTTTTCAAATTCTTGTCAAATCTACACACAATAAAATGGGCCAGAGGAGATGATGTTAAAAGTTAGGCTGAGGGTGGATTGGTTCCTGCTCAGATCCTGAACAAGTTGCCATCTCTAGGTCCTATTTGTATTCTTTGTTCCATCAAAAAGATAGACAGCTAGTACACATTATGC